CAAAAGTAGTAATTTGATGCCTTGTTTTGTGAGGAAATTAAATACAAGAAAATAATGATTTATGAGTAAAGAATTTTACCACCACTTACTTACTTGCACAGATATCTGACATTAAAGTTTTTTAAAGTAGGTATGCATCCAAATCCTCTACTTAGGAAAAGCAGCATAGCCAAGAGCAGTTCTACTCTGTATTTGAGGAGCATCATCAGCTTTCCTCTGCCAATATTGATAACATAACATTTAAAAATTTGTTTATCCTGAATGTTTTGTGAAAAATATTTAAAATTCACTGATTCACTAGAGAATAAACATTCATTAATTAATAGCAGAAAGTAAACACTCAGAGGGGAAAAACAGAGTTAAAGTGATTTAATTTAAAAGTTTGTATGAATATTCATGGCATTATTTTGCCTCAGTTTCTAGTTCTAATGGTGCTGTTTCTCTGAAGAACTAATTTAATTGAGTAGATACATGTTTATGTGTACAGAGGTTCTCAAGTGTTGCATCAATTGGGCTTTTTTTCCCTAGGCATTCAATTCAAACACAAAATTCAAAGGTCCATAATCTATATATATATATACATATTTCACAGTGTGTTTGCCTGTAAAACTCCCAAAAAATAACTTTATTTTTCTGAAACACACCTTGGAAACCTGAAATTACTTGCAGCAGAACACACCATTCTCATGCTTTCAAAGTCCCAAGTGTTTTGCAAACACAGGAAGATTTAGGAGACTCACTGCTGGGGCAATATAACTGGATTCTGCCCCTTTTTTATTAAAAGAGAAAAAGAATAGAAAACCCATCCAATTTCATTCACAATATCAGATTGTGATTCTGTGATGATGAAACCAGACCATTTTTTACAGTATGTTCTTTTCTTTCCTAACTGCAAATACTGATTCATTACTATCCCCAGCTGGTAGAAATGCACACCCATGGGAGGTAGACAGTTGAGACACAGAACCACAGAATCACAGAATTAACTGGCTTGGAAAAGACCTTTGAGCCCATTAAGTCCAGGCTATGACCTAACACCACCTTTTCAAACCATGGTACCAAGTGCCACATCCACGCGTTTCTTAAATACCTTCAGGGACAGTGATTCCACAAATTTCCGGGGCAACCCATTCCAATGCCCAATCACTCTTCCTGTGAAGAATGTTTCCCTAGTGTCCAGCCTAAAATATTTGTCCAGCATGTAAAAGGGAGACAAGGACCCCTGAACCTTAAGGTTATTGTCAAACAGCCCCAGCCAGATGGAGCTTTGACTGACAAAGGTATAAATGTTATGTCATAAATGTAGCTATCAACCACTGCCCATAGGCTGAAGCTAACTACATGGACAGGCATGGTTAAACCACAACCCAAGTTACAAAATGTCTTTCAGATTCAGAGGGATTTGAATAAGGATCTGCATAAAGAGAAAACAATTTTTTCAGAATTCATATACTGTTAAATTAGGTTCAAGTCTCTTTAGCTACTACTTTGTGCCTACTTGCCTAACCTAATATTTTTTGTTTAAGTTTTACTTTCATGTGAGCTAAACAGAACACTGTGCCATTCACTCTTGCAATATAACATTTTCTCCTTTTGTTTTCCTGGAATCAAAACAGTTTTCATTTCTGTACTTATCCCTTGCAAGGCAAGTCCAGTGCTAGCTGTATCATATTTTAGACTGTTATTCTTTCTTCTAAGAAAACATGATTTGTATTTGATTCTTCTTATTTCCAGTCTCTTTTCACTGATCTCACTGTCATTCTAGCTTTGTTAAAAGCACAAGCTTCACTGCTCCCTTATCTACTTTAACACTGTGTCATAATTCCTTGGCTTTAAATTCATAAATCACTCACTCCATTTTCTTCACAGAAATATATGCCTTTAAGGAGGCCCATAGTTGTGAACACTAAAAATGGAAATATATCAGAAGGTGTTAATGGCTAATTATTACAAAATTGTTAACCTTCTTTCCCTTACTATTTTGTTGCTGTCAAAGATCTCTAGCTTTTCTCAGATGTGTTAAAATAAATATTTTACAAGGAACAGTGGGTCTCCACCTAATAAAAATACGTTATCATATCAATGATATTTGAGAGGTGGGGAAAAAAGTGGCAGAAAGTCTCAAAGGAAGGAATTCCTAACAGGAATTCAAAAGATGTGATCTGCTCTGATTTTCACCTTTACTAAGGTTCTTAGAAGAGGGTCTGACATTATTTTCAAAAAGGCACGATCCAGATTATTTTCAAAATATTTACCCAAGTTATCCCAAACTCTCATGGCTGGGTGAATATAGTACTCTGGCTATGCAGGGTATCCTCAGAGATAAGGAGAGAACATGTTCTGCAGGTGCCAGATAGCCTCATGGGGCTTCTGCTGAAGAATGACCAAAGACAATGAATACATCCCTCAACTGCTTGGTTAATAGTTTGTCTGAATGAACTTAAGGGTCTTCTCCAGCCTTAGCAATTCTATGATTCCATTATACAGTGTTTTACAAATCCCTTTTCTAACCTCCTAGTCAACAATGAAGAATCAGTAACCCAGATGCTGTTATGAATATGGAGCACAAAGTAGCAGCTTCTTTCTAACCAGGATATATTTTTACCACCTAGACACCCTGAGCACTCTGACATTGATCCCTATGAAAAGGATGTGTTAAAGCCACATCCCTATGGTAGGGATTACTCCTCTGTGTGACTTAGCTTCCCAGCATCCATAAAAAGAAATGGTATAGCTCAGAACCAAGCCTTGTTCTCAAAATTAAACCTCTAAGTCACACCAACAACCTGCTCAGATTTAGCTATCAACTGCCTAGAGGATATATTACTGCTTCATAGATGAGAGAAAAGGGGAAACATAATAGAAATACTTATCAGCTAAAAGGAAGATAGAAGATTCAGCAGCTCATCCCCAAATGGATACTTTACAGGACCGTGCTATTTGCTGCTGCCAACGGTAAGTGGCCAGTCAACAGCAAATCCAGCTTGTTATGTGCCCATAAATCTGCACAGGTAATCCCAACTCTGACTTCTCCAAGTCCCTGAGTGCTTAATCACCGAAACTTTCAACTCATAGGTGTATTTGTGCGCAAAACACATAAAAAAAAAAACTAAACCACAATTGACACCACAGCTCTCAGCTACAGACTTCTCTGAGAAAACTGTCATATGTCCACAGATTTTGTTCATGTGCAAGTTGTCAGACTGTGCAGCATTGTTTTTATAGTCTGAAAATTCATTTTTCTTAAGTGTGAATACTTTCATTTTGTGATAAAGTAACAGGAGAAGAGACTATAGCATCTGATTCTTTGTTTCAGAAGCAACAGTTCAGACTTTAAAAAGCAAAATAAGTGGTATGATTTATAGAAGGGACAAAAACTTTTAAAAATTTCTGCAGTAAGTGGATATACACTTCTTTCAGAATTTTCTCAAATGAGTTTTCACAATTTTAAAATAATTGTCAGCTGTTAGAAAGTGGTTTTTTAATTTTGATGGAGTACTGATCTAAATAAATCAGCTGGGATTGTATTTTTGTGTGCAGACATCTGAACTATGCCAGTTTGTTATTGAAACAGGAAACCTACTTTTGCTAGACTAGAGCTGGACAATGAGACTTGATGGCTGTTTGATATGGATGCATTGAGCATCTGATAAGAAGATATCAAACCCATTGTGGTTAGGAATGTCATGCTCAAGGTGACATAATATAACAGTATGTAAAGTACACCAATTTCTCTTAAACTGGATTTTTCAGAACATCAATTTAAAATTAAATTTGCTCGAAAACAGAACAAAACCTGTGTATTTGCTTTTGTCTCCTAAAGTAAAGCTTATTTTATGGTGGCAAAGCAAAATTTTAATGGTTTTGCAAAAGGAAATAAGCAACAGGAAAGTTTAATTTCTACACCCTGATGCATTAAAGATATTTGCAGGTGCTACTATATCAGCATCTAAGGAGCTGTAATCACTCTCTTTTTTTTTCCCCTAAAGTACCTCTAAGGCCTACAATACCCAAAAGAATGCAGTATTTGACTATACATCTTAAACATCACTTTCAAAATCCCAAGTTCTTGAAAGAAGAGACGTGATAGCTCCCCAAAAACCAGTCCTACCAGGTGAATGATTAGTATCAGCTGAAGAAAGAGCTTCCCTTAGTAGATCTGAATGGGAACCAGGGTTTTCTATAGACCAGAAATATCAAATATTGTATGTTTATTCAAAGAAAATGAAAGCAAGAAAGAAAAATTAAAAATTAAAAAGAAAATACCATTAGAATAAAGATTAATTATAGGATAAAGTTACATTTCAGGTCAATCAAAAAATAATTCTAGTTTTCTATCAATGTTTTGACATATTTTTTTGAATGACAATACTACATGAAATTCAAAATTTTAATTTCACATTATCATTAATAAAGCAATGTTTCTCCAACTACATCTCAATTACAGCTTTCCAGAAATCTTTAGACTAACTCTAACCCACCACTTGCTCAATTTCAAGCCAATACTAATTCACATCTTACCTGCAAGCTGCTATTTCACATCAAACACATCTGCAACTCAAATGTGCTTTTTTCAGTAAGACCCTTGTGGATTGATGCTAATATTAGTTTTAAACAGAGTACAGAAAGTGTTATCACACCACTAGAGCAATAATACAGATCTCTGATTAGTGGAAGACAACAATAAGCCAAAAAATATTATTTTCATCTCTCTTCATTCTCTGGGGAATTTTAGAGAAAATACCTTGTTGCAATATTATTGCCCAAACCAAAAGTTTTGAGAGAGATGAATTACATGTATCAGCAGAGAATTTAGAATACTCATACCTGAAAATTAAACCACTAGTTCAGGCTGAGGTAGAAAATACTTTGGTCACTTCTAACACTGTGCAAAAACTTCAGTTTCATATGCACTTGCCATAAAAAGAGTGGGATTAAAACATACAGTCTAAGACACCCAAATTCTTCACCAACAGAAACATATTTTCCATTAGATTTACCGTCCACTGCTCTCCAGAAAGCTGAAAAATAAACTTGTCTTGTTCTTTATTTACTCCATCTGACAAGGCATGACTCTTCTTGAGCTGAGGATTCTTTCCATGGGTGTCCAGGTTCTTTGCATTGATGTCTACAAAGCCATTCTTGAGGTATTTTGATTGAGGAATACCTTTCTTACGGCACTCTAGTATCAAATTCCATTCTTGTTTTATCCTGAAATAGTGCCAAAAAATGCTTATGTGAAAAAAATATGTCAGGTAAGTTCTAAAGCTTAATCTGTGTTTGCAGAAGTACTTAACAAAATATAATTATACATCTAAGCTATTGGCTATTTTTCAATATGTATATTCAGAAAATGTGCATTTCCTGGAGTTACGCTAAGATTTTTTAGATATACTTATAGATTTCAAGTGATCAGAATTTCATTCTCTGACTATGAAACACTGAGACCCAGAGAATAACAGAAAAGTGGAGACTGAGCTAACTGTTACAGAAAAGAGCAAACATTATACCCTTTATTTCGATAGGATAGGAAATATATTCTTACAGAACAAATTACTTGCATAAACAAAATCAAGTACCTGGTGATATAGGAAAACATTTTCTTTGGGAAAAAAAAAGGCAAAAAGTGCCTTTTTTCCCTGCACTTTCTTGATCAAATATAATGATTTTTTTTAATTTTTACACCAATATCTTCTTAAAGGTCAAAGTTATCACATACCAAGTGATTTCAGATTCAGTTTCAGTGTAACTTCCACATCACCTGCAAGGTAAGCTTTTTCTCATAACTTCAGGTGCAAATTCAATTTGATATAATTAACATTGTCAAAAGCTCTTGCTTTTAGTTAGGAGAGATTTATGTCAGTTTAGTCAACTAAAGAGCTGGTTGATTAACAAAAAGCAAGCCTTTTCTACACTGAAACAAGACTCTGCAGCGCTCCGTGTATCATCAAATCTGATTCTCTATCCTGTGGTACATAAGACTTCTTTTGTCATCTCCATCCTCTGACAGAAACTTTTATCTAAAGGATTGAAGAAAACTGAGAGCTTAAGAAGGACACAAAGTTCAGGATGAAGTAACCCTAGAGAAAGTAAATATGGTATGTCCTAGAAAGAGAAACAAGTGCAAGTTTATAAAGTTCAAATAGGAAGTAACAAAATATTTTTTAAAAGATAAAATTATATTTACCTTCAAATGAAAAAATTAGAAAGAAACATGAGCTGTGATAAACCCCAAAAAAGCAAATGAAGTTACTGCAGGTATACAAATGAGTAGCAAAAGGATTTGTAGCATATCAGATGAAGGAAGCTTCACAGACATGATGGGGAAAATAACTTCACAAAATATGAAAGGAGCAATAAAGGAATTGTTATAGAAGTCGTTGATAGCTGCAGAAGTATTACTCATTCTTGACTTCAGTTTTCATTAGAGATCAGGATGTTCTTCACAAGTCAACATCTGGAAGAATTCCTGGTATTAAAAGCATCAATAGGGGAGGTGTGAGAATACTAAAATAAATTTGAAATAAATCTCCTAGTTTCTTTCAGTGTCTACTGCATTGGGGAATGTTTTATACCACAGCAAGCTGTGATATATAGTGAGTTAAGAAAAAAATAGACTGGACAGACAGAAAAACATTCAGCCCAGGGAGTCCCTAGTATGTATTAAAGGTGTTAGCACAGTCCACCAACTATGCCCAAATATCTCTACAAATATTGTCTGAGTTTACTTGATACGACAAAGACAATAAAATAGGTTAAAGCAGAGACAGTTCTTTAGCCCACACTGTGATATGTCATCAAAATGTGGCTAATATTTCTAAATTTTCTGTTACAGAGGGAGAAATATTCAAACATCTGATTTCACCAAGCAGCCCTACTAGGGGTATCCCCACCAGCTGCAGTCTAGAAGTGCTCAGATGACAGAGTGTTCCATATCAGCAGACATGATAGCTCAAAAACCTTTCAGATGCTTTGACACATAAGCTAATTCAATTTTTAGTGTTGATTTTAACTATTCAATCTGTCATTTGTACCCCAGAAACTGCCAACACAACTGAGTGTGGATATTGTAATAGCAAGAGATTTCTAGGAAAAGCTACAAAAAATATTTCCATATACTATAAGGAAAAATAAACAGCCCCAAAACACCTACTCATATTTTGTTCCAAAACTTGTGTACCAGTGAGTATAGCTACATAGAGACAAAAGATCTGTACAGCTAGGAAATGAAGTGGTATGGGGAAGGTGTTAACTGAATTTCAAGGAAGCGAACAAAATTATCTGAACAATTAAGAGGCAGGAGCCATAAGGACATAGAATAAAACAAGTAGAATTATTTTTTTTTCTAAAATAATCCAAATTTTACTTAGCAATCCTGTTCTGCTCTTTCTCGCATTCTCCAGTCCTCCACGTAGAGTTTTTCTGTCCTTCTGTGAAGTTTAATTCTGCATTACTACCCTCTCATTTCCATGGAATTCCTTCATTTTCTATCAAAGCAATAAATATTTCACTCAGCGCATACTTTAGTGCACTGAAAAAAATTGCACAAAGTGCAATACAAAATGGGGAGTTTTGTGTTCATTGCTTTTGTTTCAAGCCCAAAAAATTACTGACTCATACCTGATAGTATAAATTCTAAGAATGCTCAAAACTTAAACATAAATAAGACATCAAAAAGTCTAACTCAATAAAAAGTAAGCTGCATTACTACACACCAGCACTGGCTCTGTCAGGTAGACCCCAGGAACACTAGAATAGAAGAGCACTCAGGTTAAAAATTTACTTTTCCAGAACAAGGAATATAAAAAATTGTAAGAAGAGAGTTACATTAAAGCTGAAAAAACAAACTGCCCTCTGACAGTCCACTGATAACATGTATAAAACACAAAACTCAGGAGGTCATTGCTAGCCAAGTAAAATAAAATGCATACAACAAAAATGGTTGTTAAGCAAATCAGTCAGTGAAATATTTACCTCAGAAGAAGGACGGAGGTTAAAAATCAAACCTACTAGGGAATCCAGCAGGTATATTGCACACTGATATGGAAATCCTGTGTGAAATTTTCTCTTTTTTGTACATTAAGTTAGGGTGACATGCTCTGTTAAGCTTTTAAAGAATGCAGGTATTGTGTACAAGCACATTTAGAACAGATGGAATGTGAATTAATAATGGAGCAACAAAAGTGCATAATTTTGTACAGTACATCTCAGAATGAAAACATTGTATTTCCCATGGGCAAAGGGTCTAATAATTTACAACACCTGGCTGTACCCTGAAGTTACACACTACCCAAATTAATCACTGTGAGCCTTACTGGCCTGGAGTTGCAAATTATATCGAACCAATGTGTATCAAGAAGAAAAGATGGCAAAGCTGTAAATTTGCAGGTTCAGTTGAAATAAAACCAAAGGCATCTATTTGACTACATGGTTGTCATTCTGCTCTGTTATTGTCAAAAAACTGATATGTTAGTACTTTTTAAGGGATCATTATGAAAATAAACACCTTTTTAAGTCTTTATTTGGTGACAATCCTCAAATTATACAGAATTTCCATTATGTTTGTCATATCAGGAGGCTATTACATGAATCTTTAGGAAAGATATCTAAAAGAAAGGCCTCTAAACCAGTGAGGCAAAAAGAAAAAAATAATCACACAAATAAAAAAATCTTTTAAATATTGATATACTTTTAAGAAATTATATTTTTGCTCTTGACATTTTAAAGACTCCTGATATTCCAGAAACACATTTCCACATATGACAAATAAATCACAAAACCACAGCTCTCTTGAAGTTTATGTCTTTTTAATACTATTTAACAATAAAATATTTTCACCTTCTTGTAGGCCTTGATCAAACAGTTAAAGTCATATTAAAAACCAACAATTGTTTTCAATAGTAAGAAAAATGAAGATAGCAAAGTCAAGGCTAATTTGGGTGGGATTATGAATACAAAAAATATTTTTCCTGGACAAAGGGCTCAGAGGAGATGCAAGGTTCCAACTCAGTTAACTGTTATAGTATTTCCTCTTCAATCCTACAAATAGTTCCTCGAATTTTAAAAAAGGCTGGTTGCATGCTGCTTAGGTTTGCCAAAAAAAAAAAAAAAAACCAAAGAAAAAAGAAAATTAAGTTTCATACCTACATATCTGTAACACAAAAGCACACCTTTCACTAAGGCAGATGTATGTGGTATAGAGGAATTTTAGTCTGGCAAGTTATTTTCTAATATATTGCCTTTTTAAAATAAGCTTTCAGGACAATACATTACAGTTATGAAACAAGATCAGCAGGGAAATAGATTCAAATATTTTCATTTTGGTTAGTGCTGTATTCCTCTTCAGGTAATCATTTCCCAAATGCTGCTTCACTATTGGAGTATACCTTCAGAAAGAAGATTCACAGCATTTATTTTTCATTATTATATTTCTTTTCAAGGACATGGTAGTTCCCTTCTTGGAATTCTATTTTCTCCAACAAAATATTGAATCTAAGCAATCTGATGCAAAGAGTTACTCTATAATAAACTCAGTGATTGGTCCTTTCAAAGGAGCAAGCAGCTTGGAAAAGAAATGTGCATTGGTAGGGATTTCAGAGCTATCAAAGCAAATGAGGAGTAACTGGGTTTCTTTCAATTGCTCTTCCTTCATCAGGTACCCTCTATTCAATGTCTGATTAGAAGCTTGTGGAGGAAAGATGTGATTCCTAGGTAAGGAAAGGAAGTTTCATTAGATGGCACTATTTCCTCTAAACCAGGACACAAGAGTTGACTGGGACACTACATGGTAACACCAGTTTAGAACTCCTGAGCAATGTTTAAATCAGAGCCACTAGCCACGCAGGATCATCAAATAATCCTATGTAATTTTTAGAAGAGCATCACAGTAGAACTGGAGCTCAGCCCAGAATAATATTCCTGATGGATGAGTAACATTTGCTTCAAACTCAATTGGATTGATTCAATTTCAGTATCCCTGCCAGGCTCTTCCATGCAATTTAAAGGATTGTGGCTGAACGTCAGCTTTTATCTTACAATTCACTTCTATGCATAGCTTTAGATGCATAATCTGCATGCACAAGTGCCTACAAACAAAGGCAAATAACTTAGTATTTTTATTAATGCTGCAGACCGAAAACCAAATTGTTGACTGTAATTTGTGTTTGCAGGCAAGGGACTGCCAGCTCCAGTTTTAGACTAGACTGGAAAAAGTTCTGCATTTGAGTGGGAGAATAAAGATAAACATAACAAATAAAATCTTAGTTAAGGTACAAATAGAGTTATAACACTGAAGTTTGGAAGAGAGATAGAGACCAATCTTTTTTATTAAACAAACATGTAAACTCTCAGGGAAAAAAAAAGTCAGTCTGCCTGCAAAGTGTAGTTTTCTTGTTGCTTTTTACTTTTAATATTCAGGAAGTATATAACTCAAAAAATAATACATGCACATTGAATTATCCAGACTTTGAGAAGAACTTTTTGGAGAAGAGACAGTGGAAAAAGCAGCTGAAAAAACCCTAACTATAAACATTCACTCTTTTTCCCATTAAAAAAAAAAAAAAAAAAAAAAAAAAAAAAAAAAAAAAAAAAAAAAAAAAAAAAAAAAAAAAAAGAGAGAGAAAAAAGAAAACAATATAAAAGAAATAAGAAATCTCAGTGAGGAAAATCATCATACCACATCAAGATCATCTGACAGCATTCAGGATTTTGGGGAACAATAAAAGATTGTTTTGATAAAAGATCACTACTACAAGAGTCAAGAAGATTAAATATAAAACAGTGCTATTAACACGCACTTCTTTCCACAATATGCACTTTCATAAACATATAGGAAAGCTCAGCACACTTTTTTTAACAATTTGTGGTCTATATCCTATGGGAGATTTTAAATGGGCTTGTCAGACAGGATCAAGAAGATGGCATAAAATGAAAATAAGCTTACCCAACACTGTTTCATTTCTTTTTCTTTTATATTCTGTTGTTAGTTTACATGTGTTCTTTAAACTGCCACACTTTCAGAGTCCGATAAAAACCGAAGAAGAAACAGAGGAATGAATTAAATCCATGAAGAAAATTTATCTCATACCAGTACCCCAGAAGGCCAGTATTCTCCGCAGTTGGTTGTCCAGAATCAGCTTTCACTGGTGAGTTGCTTAAACATCTAACTCATAAACAAATCTTTACAAGACCTCACCATTAATGCTCAGTTGAGCTTTTCAGTCATTTGTGGGATTTTCCTCTGAAGAAAATCTTCCATTAAAAATGATCTTGCAAGTTACAGTTTAATGAGGCCACATGAACCAAATTACCTTGCCCCAAGGCAAACAGAGTTCCCTAGAGGTTGACTAGGAGTTTGTCCTGGAATAATACATACTACATTTCACTGCATATTATCAGGTCATTTTACATAGTAACAGAGCATATAAAGGAACTGCACAATCTCAAAGACATTAGCAAATTATAACCTCTTTGAGGAAAACTGGGTTTTGTTTAAAAAAAAAAATAAGAAAAAAAGAATAAAACAAACATAAACAACCCCAAAGGCCAGATTCCAAACTCTGTTGCATTCCTGTATTTGCAGAAAAATTCTGTTCATTTCAACCCTACTTAAGAATTCACTCTGACTTCTGGCTAAATTGAATATCTAGAGTCTTAAGTGCTAGAATGTAGTCTTCATATCAGGAAAGTTCCTTCTCTAAATGTCTTTTGGGAATTATCATTTTGTATCAAAATACTTTCTTACTGTGGCAAAGCATGAACTTGCATTGATTTCAGTGGACCTACCTGCCAGTAGTAAAATTTTAATCCCTGAGTATGATACCTGAATTTAGTCAACACAGAAGTCCATAAAATAATGAAATATATTTACACATGGAAACATTATTTCTATTATTTAATTAGAAATACAATTTTATCTATATTTTAAGCTAAAAATCAGCAAAGTCTTCTCATATTTTTGGACCGACATTTGAGAGCACTGAAAAGCCCTTAAGAAATAACTTGTGAGCTGACATTTAGGACCCAAATGCCAATGGTCACTGTACACCTCATAAAACAAAGAGGATTTTCTTTTAACTGAATTTGGCATATTATTACTAATATTCTTATTACTTTGACCATTATTCTATCAGCTTTGGCAATTCTATAAGGCCTGCACTATGAGAATGAACACAAACTTTGCCACTTGTTTCAGTGGGTGTAATACTGATCACTCATACTCAAGAGACAAAGTCTAATGTATTTCTTCCTTTTTTTTTTCCAGGAGCTCTACAAGTAGAACTAACTGGAAAGCAATCTGGGTGCACAAAGACACAAAACTAAACAAAGTACAATATGCAAATTGCAATTTAAAGGAAGAAAAATATCCTTTGTGCATGCAGCAAGTGCTCCTGGGAACTTTTATTTCTGTGCATTATATCTCAAATTTCCTATCTTTGAATGGTAAGGGAAATTAAAAGACTTAATTTGGACATCATTAGTGGAAAAATGCAGAAAAAGCAGTGAAACTCCACTCTTTCAGATAGAAGTATGTCTACAATAATTAACCACAGGCAGAAAAAACAGTGAGAATGCATTACTTTCATGAAAAAGATAAGTCACTGCAAGAACTTATTCTTAACATATGCTACTGACAAAAGCCATAGGAGTTCAAATTAGCTACCTTAGAAGACACAAGGCTACCCTCTTTCCCTCTTACCATGCATCATTTGGTTTTGTACTAATGAACTCAAAAGATATCTTCTGCACCACAGAAAACCAAAACAAAAAAAAAAAAAAAAGTGGCCGGGGGATGTTGACATGTTGACATCAGGACAGAAATGAGGTTTGATCAAGTTTGATCCCAAGTCCTTTCACTTGTGCTTTCTACCACAAGGGAAATGTCCATCTCTCAGCTGTCATGGTTTGACCCCAGATGGCAACCAAGTACCACACAGATATTTACCCCTCAACCCTCCAGTGGGATGGGAAGAAGAATCAAGAAAAAGAAGTAACAAGTAACACTTCCGCATTGAGTTAAGAATAGTTTAATAATAGAACAAAGTAAAATATAATAAAAATATTAATATTAATTGCAATAATAATAATTTAAAAACATAAAGAATGTCAGGGTCCAGGACATCCCTCTGGCTGCCCTGGCTGTCTCAAAAGCCTGTCATGGGGGCTCAGAGACCTTGGCATGAAGTTAAAAACACTTGTGTCTTCGATTTTATCCCATGGAAAATGTGCCACCTTTGTATGAGGAATTACAAGCCACAAGGGTTTGAGTAGTGTGATAAGTTGAATTAACAGAGGGTGAAAAGTAGAAATTTGGGGTTTTTAGAATGTGGTTGAGGGGGTACAAGGTAGAGAGATTTGGGTGTGTCCTAGCCTTCTCCTTCTTGTCCTCCATGTCTTGGTGTGTTGGTAACACTTTTTTATTGGTTTAAGGAAGAGACACACTGTTTAACATAGATGATAGGTATTGGCACAATATTGTAAACATAATACGCATAAATTTTGATATAAAATGTAAGCACTGCCCAAGGTGGCACACAGAATGCCATGGCCTCCTTGCTAGATGGAGTTCAGCAGGTGAGAAAAAGAATGTTATAGATAAGGAAAAATAAACCACCTTAAGAAGCTGACCCTACACATTCAGACTCCTTCTTTGGCTGCACGGGCTAGGAAACAGGGTTTTTACAATCTTGGGTCATTCCAACACCACAGACCCCGAGAAAAGAAAACCAAGATTAATAAATTATGCTGCTCACAACCTGGTGACCCACTCCTAGTTGATTCCTGAGAAATAATCACTCACTTCTGGCCAATTCCACTGATTTACACAGTGAGAATAAAGATCTATGGTATGGTATATCTCATTCAGGTCAGCTGTCCTGGCTGTGCTCCCTGCCAATTCTTTGTTCAGCCCCTCACTAGAAGAAAATGAGACATTGGAAAGTCCTTGGCTTGGCATAAGCACTACTTAGCAACAATCCAAACAACAGTGTGTTATCAACATTATTCTCATTCTAAATCCAAAACACAGCAGTGTATCAGTTACTAAGAAGAAAACTAACTATATTCTAGTTGAAATCAGGACACAGTTCACACCAAAACAAAAACTTATCCTTGCTAGAGAATTCAATATGAAGGCTGAACTTCTTCTGAACTTCTTTTTTTCTTTTTTTTTTCTTCTGTTTCTGTTAGGATTACAGTTTTTATTGTAAGCTTTGGTGGAGATGGGAAAACCAAGACTGGTGCGATGGCTGTTTTGAAGAGAAAAGTCCCACAGAAAGGATGGTCTGACTCTGTATTACCCTGGTCTCCTCTTAGACCAGCTGCTCTGTTGCCAGAGCAGCTGCACTGGCAGTGAGAATCTACTAGTGAGGGTATCCTGAGAGTGCTGAAACAGCACACAAAGGTTCAATGCAATTATGCTCTTAAACAAGGCCACTGTTTAACTCGGTGCATTTTATTTTTAAAACAGAATGTGATTTCTATTTTTCTCTCTTCTCAGAGGGAGAAAATTGATAAATCCTATGTTTCCAAACTTCCCAATGCAGTTTAAAATTTAATGGTTTCTTATGGGAAGCAAAACATTGCTTAAAGAAAAAATAAATGCAATATAATAAAAACAATTCAATTATCATTGAGTATAAGGACTATGATCAAGGCCTTCTTTAACACCCCAAGAAAAAGTAACCTAATAATTTTTATGCTCTTATTCAATTTTAAGCAATTGAATATATCCACTTATTTATCTCCTTTTCTTTCTCCTGTCAACAAAACAAAAATACTTAAAGAATTTCTTAGTACTGAAACTTGTGACCATATGTTCACTAATTCTATAATTAATAATCCCTACTTTTATGCAGTATATAAAAAATAGAAGGTACAAACATATGTTATTTTACTCTTCAATTTATGTCTATGGTAAATGAGAAAATATATCATTAATATATCTACATAGGAAAGACCAGAAACTAATGAAACATAAGTATTGTTTGTGCTGCTTTATCTTACTCAGAGAGCTCTTACTATCATGTGAGGAAAGGAAGTAAGATGTCATTGAAATCAAACCCAAACACCAAAATTTTAATAATTAACAAGTATTTTTAGTAGATTCATCATATTTGTTTTATATATTTCTATTTATTATATTTAGTATATGGCAATGTTAGTGTATAATAAGAACAGATTTAGTTAAAATTAATAAAAAGTTGTCTTACTTCTCCAATGCACTTTGTTCTAATCTTTCTTTCTCCTTCCTCTGACGTTCTTTGCACTTCTTAACTCGAGTTTCCCACAGTCCTCTTATGACAGAAAAGTCAAATATTATCACCTGATGCCCCATATTGTTGACATTAAGCTTCTCCTGCAAAAACAAGCCAATTCAGAAAAGGAATAATGAGAAAATTAAAGCTCCAAACTATCAAGTTTCATTAAAATTGTCTGGGGAAAAGAGCTGAAGTCATAAGAAATATTAACATAGTACATTTTCCATCTTACCTAATTTATCTAGGGTTTTGTGCTGGCAGTAATCAATGTAGCATACAATTCACTTCTACATAAAATCCATGGCAACAGCTAGACATTGAATTTTTTGTATTCCTTACATTTTTTCCTTTTCAAGATAAAGACAGAGTTGCAAAAAAAAATACTGGTTTGATTAAGTAACACTGATGAAAATAGCTTTAAAGTCTTTGCATTTTTAATAATTTCTGTGACTAATATTAAAATGAATGCTCATAAAGAATTTATTCATTTTAAATCATGCAAAAGCACTTCATCTGGAGTTGTAGTAGATTGATCTTTATGACCTCAAGCTGTCCTATTTCAATGGAATTTATTAAATTCCTATGTTTTCATAAGTATCTACTTATCTGTGAAAGGCATCAAAAGACCAGCCCCATAACACACAAAAAAATTTACCTAAGGCAGAGAGATGGGGAAGATTTGGTGGACACGTCATGGTTCCCACTTACTAACATGTCCTTATTCTGGCCAGGGTTGACTCTACAGCAGCCAGGAGGGCCACGGCCAGCACCTTGAGATCCTTCACCTCAGCAGATGGTGAGGTAGTCATGCCTGCCTTTTTCACTTTACTGGAGTGCACAGTCATAAGGAACAATCACTTGTAAATCATTTGCCTGTCCTGTATACTTATTAGTATTGTTGTTGCTGTTTAATTTTTTAAATTTCATTGCTGTTTCCACTGTATCACTCTTATCTCAACCCATGATCTTTACCTTTCTGTGCCTCCATTCTTCTCTTGATCCTGCTACAGGGGAAGGCTGGGGGAAAAACAGATGGAGAGCAACCCTGTCCAGAAGGACTTGGGATACTGGTGGGTGGAAGGCTGGACATGACACAGCCATGGGCACTCCCAGCCCAGAAAACCACACGTGTCCTGGAGTTCATCAATAGGAATGGTCAGCATTTGAGGGAGGGGATTCTTCCCTTCTACTCCACTCTCATGAGGACCCAACCTAGAGTGCTGCATACTCCTCTATGTTCCTCAGCACAGAAAAGACATGGACCTGTTGGAGCTAGTCTAGAGAAGGACCACCAGGATGATTAAAGGGATGAAAAACCTCTCCTTTAAAAAAGACTGGGAGAATTGGGATTGTTCAGCCTGAAGGAGAGAAGGCTTTGGGATAATTGTAACTCTCCAGTATCTGAAGGAAGCCTACAAGAAAGATGGAGAGAGTGTGTAATGATAGACAAAGGGGAATGGATTCAAACCCAAAGAGATGGTTTAGATTAGATATTCTGAAGATACTCTTTACTGCGAGGGTAGTGAGGCACTGGAACATGTTGCCCAGAGAAGCTGTGGATTACCTATCCATGCTCAACACCAGGCTGGATGGGTGTCTGAGCAACCCAGTCCAGTGAAAGGCATCCCTGTCCTGGAACTGGGTGATCTTTAAGGTCCTCTCCAACCCAAGCCATTCGATGATTCTCTGTGTGAAACATAGCATAGCATTCCTGTGCTGGTACTGAACCACTGTTTGAAGCACCATCTAAATCACAATAATCACCTACTAAATCTCTAATGCAAGTACACAAACAAATCTTGATAAAAGAGGTGGAACTATGCTTTCTTGCTCAGAGTCACTAGTGGGGATACAATCATAGTAGTATACAGACTCTCATAAAATGTAGCTAGATTACCAACAGAGGAAAGTCAGTTATTTAAACTTTGTGTGAGGTTTTATTAGGGAGCACATTTATTATACCATTTATAAGCTCAGAGAAAAAGAAATAAACAGTAGAAGAAAACCCTTCTTGACCATCTACTTATCAGTAAAAAAGCAATCCTCCCCTTCCTTTCCTATATGTTTTCAAGCCCATGTCTATAATTTTTTTTCCTCAGATGCTACTGTGATAATTTTTACCAAGCATTGTGTCCTTTAGCTGGGGCTATTTATTATCTGTCCTTCTGTTATAATATTGAAGACAAAGGGGAAATTATTCTCCCCTCTGTATTTTTTCCCTTGTAACTTTGCCACTGTCCCTTTTCTCTTCCACCCCCTTTCACCTACACATCCCTCTGCAGAACATAGCATATAAAGGAATAATTTATTCTGAGCCAGGAAAACACCCTCATGTCCTCTGGAAAATGCACACCATGGACTAAAAAGAATTATGCATAGGTACATTCAGAGCAAAGGTACCAACCTGCTCACCTTATTAGTCATTTTGGTTAGAAAAGTCCTTTCATATACCAACAAGTATTAGATCAGAAACTGGTCAGAGACCAGTATCATTCTATTTACATGGCCTTCTGTATCTTAGGATGTTTATATAAAATGTTATCTTTGTTGTTCATAAAGCTGCACCTATTGCTTGTTTATCTTTGCTAGCACTAAAAATGAGGCAAAAATAGTTCCTAACTGATCCAGAACTAACAGCTGACAGCAGCTGAGTCAAAACCCCATCAAAACAGTGTAATTAAAACAGTGACCTTATTCTCTGTGGAAAGGTTTGTCCTTTTAAAACATATTCACTACTAATTTACAGGAACTGTTTACCTCATAAAATAAAATATTCACCTCTGCTTACAGGAGAAAGAAACCCAGTGACAAGGACTTCACCCCTCACAGTAACTGCAGACCAGCAGTCACCCTTCAGGGTCTCATTCATTTTAATAGACCAATTCATAGAAGTGTGCTTTAGTATAAAGGCTGTTGCAGAAACTGAATTGTTGCAAGACAGTGAAGTTGCAGCTGGACACTTGACCTCTGCTGGAACTAGATGGCCTTAATCAACAGAGAGTCTGAATAGACTGTGAAAGCACTCCTTTTCCTTGATTCGTTTCTCACCTTCCTGTCTCACAGGTTAAGTAATATGTTCTTTATTGAGTCACTGATTTATTAAACACTAGGTTGGAAAAGTTCATTTTATCCACATATTGCTTTTATCCACATAAAGCTTTTACCCACATGTTGCACTAAGCGGCAAGGCATTGTGGGGTTTTCTTCTGTCCAAGCAGAGGACAAACTTTGGTGGGAGGTGAGAGCTGTCCGTCATAAAGCCTCAGAATTAATCTCTTCAGAAGGAGCAAAGCCACAAATCCTGATCAGATTACAGGGTGACTAAGGCTTTAGAAATATGTATCAGGACAAATGTGAAATGCTTTTTGACATCTACAACTCTGAAAAGGTCATCTAGCAATCTTCACAGGACTTTTGCTTTATCCTATATCCTTGTCTAAAAAATGGGCATGAAGTATGTATTTGCCAAAATTTTCCTAACAATGAGAAAGGAAAGGAAAACTGGCTAAAGCTATGCTTAACTAAGTATAAGTTCTTCAGGATACCTACTCATGCATAGCAAGAATTTATCACATAAGAAGCAACTATTAATAATGATTTTGATTTCTAGAAATACATATTCAAATTCACGCACAGCAGTTTCTTTCTTCCAAACATCAGAATAGGCCTGTAGAGGAAAACTTGAAACTATCATCTATTATTCACAGGTGGTAAGCTAAATTTGGATAAAGAAAAATCTCAATTGTACATTTCTTTCTAACTTCTTAGCTTCAACTAGGAACATAGCTATGTTTCCTCCCATACTTAGGCTATACACAGGGAATTACTATTATCATTTTGTCCATTGTCAGAAACCATAGTGAAGTTAGAATGGATCTCTGGAGGTCACCTCATCTGACTGCTCTGCTCAAAGCAATCATACAGTTCTGTACATCCTGCAGCACCCCTTCCTCTTCCAATTCCACCATCATTTTGTAATTCAGCATTGCTTCTTTCTCAGCCCATACTTACATGTGATCATTAAGGATAGGCTTTTGTCACACTTGTGAGGGTTACCTCACCCACCCATATGGCAGAAAGTGAAAAACAAAAAACTCTTTCTTACCCAAGAAATAGGAAACCTTGCTTTCATTAAGGACATGTCCTGACCACAAAAGGAGTCATGACCTGCATTCGCAAGACCCTACTTCATAACTACACTGAGTTTGCCACTTAAAGTCATCTTGACTTGAGTAACATCTACATCTAAATTATGTTGTAGATCATCAGCACACCTTTCTTAGGTGATACATGGTTATAACATTTATCAGTCTTTTGAGTTATTACTGAGATAGGTCACGACACAAACATTCAGTAACATATGATAAGTAATGTACAGCACTTTCCAGGGGAAAAGGGATTCAGGAACACAAAAAAAAGGCAACGTCATTTACAAGAGAGTCATATATGGAGAAACTAGTCCTCTGTGTGTATCTATGGAAGCAAATAATCTTATCCATAGCCATTTACACCTCCCAAGAAGTTATCTGCAAGACCTTAATCAATATCCTTAAAAGGCAGCATACAGGGAAAAGGGAAATCAAGCTGATCTTGTCTTCTTTGTAATTATTAGCTCTGAAACAAAGCTGGCCATTCAGGATACCTTTTGTTTTGGTTGGGGTTTTTTGTTTGTTTGTTTGGGGTTTTTGGGGGTTTTTTTTGGTTAGTTGCTTGGGGGTTTTTTTGGCTTTTGGTTTTTTTAGCTATTCTAAGATTTTCCCTTCAGAAGAAACTACACATTACATTTAAGGAAATATTTTTAGTTAATATAATAAATAAATAAATAATATCAACCTTTTTAAAATAGCTCTTTTTTTGTTTTTTTGTTTTTTTGTTTTTTTTAATAAGCATTGCATTTCTTGGCAAGGCAATATGAGAGTTTGTAACCAGAGAAACTTGTATTAGTGGTAGAGAAAAGAAAAAAATTTTTTTTGCTTCACTCTTTCCTGCTCTTTATGCTTTTTTTAGGAGGAGGAATAAAAAAGTCCCTTTGAACACCATGGTATTTACATCTCTTCCTTAACCAGTGGGCTGTGTCAACCTTGTCCCTGTTTTCATC